ATTCCATTTATGATAGAAACAAAAAAATCGACAGACCCATTCATACACACAATAACTAGAAATAAACTTAACAAAAAATGTGCAAGACCTATAGGAAGAAAACCACAAAACTCTACTGAAGTTTTTAAAACTCTACTGGAGTTTTGCAAATGGATGTAAATGAAAAAATTAATAAATGGAGAGACATATCAGGTTTTTGGACGGGAAGACTCAATTTTTTAAATATAATTCTTTCTAAATTTATTAATGAGTTTAATGTAATTCCAACGGGATATTTTTTTAATTTAACAAAATTATTCTAGATTTCATCTTGAAGAACCAACAGGTAAGAATAGCAAATATTTTTTTTTTTTTTTGGTGAGGAAGTTCAGCCCTGAGCTAACATCTGATGCCAATCCTCCTCTTTTTTGCTGAGGAAGATTGGCCCTAGGCTAACATCCATGCCCATCTTCCTGTACTTTATATGGGACACCGCCACATCATGGCTTGACAAGCGATGCATTGGCGTGCGCCCGGGATCCAAACCTGTGAACCCTGGGCCGTTGAAGCGGAGCGCACGCACTCAACCACTGCGCCACTGGGCTGGCCCCACAAATAATTTTTTTAATGTATTAAAACATTACCATACTATAGTGCTAGTAGTACAAGAACAAATAGATCAATTGAGCCAAATAGATAGTTGCAAAACAATAACTGTTACATGAAAGAATTTAATGTATGTTAAAGTAGGCTAATAAATCATGTGGAATGGAAGTTCTATTTATAAATTATATTGGGACCATTGTTATCTATTTCAAAACAAAATCAAATTAGACCCTATTTCCACATCAAAATAAAATTCCAAATGGCATTAAAGAGTTCAATGTAAACGAACCAAACCATAAATTTAAAACAAAAAATGAAGTTTTATGACATCTCTGGAGGAGAAAGAATTTTCTAAACTGGGAAGCAAAGAAAGAAATCAAAAACAAAGAAAAGGAGTGATGGATTTGATGACTAAAAATATTAATTTTGTGTGTATCAAAGAAAAGCAATGGCAAACACCAAACTAAGAAAAGATACTTGAAACAGATCAAGGATTAGTATCTAAGAACTCAATGTGTTAAGAGTAAGATCCAAATGGTTAAATGGGCAAAGTACACAAAGAGCCAATTCATGAACGAGGAACTACAAGAGCTTACCAACCATATAAAAGACACTCAATCACTAACCAAAGAAATATGAAATAAAGAGTAGACACTAAATTCCAAAGATAATTTTTTTTAATAAGAATACCCATTTCTAGGAAGGGTGCACTGAAATGGACACTCTCATACATTAGTGATGAATGTACATATAAATTGGAATAACTATTTAGGAAAAAATATTTGGTGATCATGTATACATCAAGAATCCTAAGCTGTGCATGTTTTTTGACCTAGAAATTGCAAGTCTTGAAATTCATTATAAGAAAGTAATCATAAACACAAGGAAACCTTTATGGACTGAAATACGAATCATGATGGAATTTATAATAGCAAAAAATGGAATTATTCAAATATCTAAAAATAGATGACTGGTTAAGGAAAATATAGCATGTTCACTGGTTGGACTATCACGCAACCATTAAAAATAATGTTTTAAAATTGTTCATAAGAACATTATATATGAATGGAGTTTTTTCATGTTAAGTGGAAAATGCAGCAGAATACAATACTGTAAGAGCATGTGTGTTTACGAAGCGTTTTTAAATTAAAATATAGAAGAAAATCCACTTAATTTTCAACACTAATTGTCCTTAGTTATAAAACTATAGATGATTTTTCCTTCATTTCCATTATCTACATTTTTCAAATTATCTACAATACGAATAGGTATTAGGAACTATTTTTAATAGACTTATTATACAAAAATCTAAACTTATTTATTGCAAATAATTGGAAGAAAAATTTCTCTCTTTAAATGAAGGTGAGCAATACCATAAATGGAAAACTTCTTTAGTACTTTATGAGATGCAATTTCCCAAAACTGAAGAGAGGAAAGGACATATCTAGAGGCCGTGACTGGGGGTTCAGAACTGGGAAAAGGAGCAAGCATAGTTTGCAAGCATAGTTTAAAGTACAGTTCGAAAGGCATATGCAATGTGTTATTCCACAATAAAAGTACAGAAACTAAAGCTCAACCAAACCTTCCTGGATAATGGGAATAAACAAAAGACAGAATGAGAAACTATTCTGAACCAACCCTACAATCAATGCATGTTTATTAGCTATACCTTGCTGTTCATGTGTATAGGACACCACTTATATTGTTATTTCTACTGCATATTATAAGCATATGCATTTTTGTTTAAAATGAGTACGTGGTTTATTTCAAAATAAAATTTAATTTCGTTACTACAGTGTAGTACTAAAAAGGGGGAATAAGATGTTTACGTTTATCAAAAGGGACTCTTGGCTCAAAAAGGTTGAGCAACTGTCATAAAAGGCAATGTATCCTTGTGTCTTCCCTCAGCAGCACAGTGTGGCAATCACCCTCTAAGACGTGGTGGCTCCAGTGCGCCCATCAAAAGACATGCTAGACAGACTCCCAATTTGCCTATTTTTTTTTTGCTACTTCATAAAGAGGTTTGCATGGAGAACTAAGAGTCATCAAAACTGCATTTATGTAAGATTCACTTTGGGTGAAAACTTAAATGTTTGAGAATTTCCCACCAGCCTAAATTAATTCCATATGTGGTCCTGGCCTACATGGGCAAAGGCCTAGAGTTGTCCACCTCTCTTGAATATTTTACCAACAGTAATCTTATGCAGAAGGTGGGGCACACATCCCTATTCCTATTTTACAAATATGGAAACCAAGACCCAGAAAAGTTGAGTGACTTCTCGAGACTACACCCTGGCCTCCTGATATCAGCCCAAAGCTCTTTGCAGTAAAGAACAGTATTTGCCTTGACAATTCATTCATTAATTCAAAAATATTTATTGAGTGCCCATTACACGCCTCCTAATGTGCATCATAATGCCTATTATGTGCCAGGCTGTGTTCCTGGTGCATGAGAAAATGTCCCTGCCCTCGTGGAGATTACATTTTAACAGGAGAGCCTAGCAATAAATAAATAAACAAGGAAATGTCATATAGTTTAAAGCTCCTTGAAGAAAAATAAAATAAAGTGATAGAGTGTAACAGGGACAGAGAGAGGGCACTTATTTTAGATAGGGTGGTCAAGGAAGTCCTCTCTGAGGGAAGAGGCGGAAGGAACAATAAGCGCAAAGATCCTAAGAGGGGAGCATGCCTGGCAAGCTTAAAAAACAACAAAGAGGCCAGTGTGGCTGAAGCCTTAGGCGCATCTTGCCACACACTGTCCCCTGCTCTCCCTCCCCTGCCCAGGCTTCTGTACCTTACTTTTGACCTCTAGGTTAAGGGGCCCATTACCTCCTACGTCAGCTTCCCTAAAGAAGCCCCTTTTGCTGGCCTACTCACTCCTCCACCTTCTTTTGATAAGAAAAGAGCCTAAGAATACTAGTTGGTTTTCATTGACCTTGCCCAGTTTCCACCTGGGAAAAACAATAATATAAGCAAAACATAAAGATCTGAGCCCAAGAGATTCAACGGCTTCCACGTACTTCCCTTGAAGCCTTTATAATAAATGTATTTAGCATGGCCTGAGAGTTGCCCCACACATGGCTTGACCATTTAAAAAAATAAAGAAAATCCTCTAACACCTCAGCATAATCTTTCTTCACTGACCCAGAGGGTACTTCAAAAGCTCACAGTGTATCATTAGGTACCAAAATTACTACCAAGAATTTTCCCTCATTTTGTTTCTGTCTAGAACCTATTGTGCAGAGCTAGTCTTTTCATGGCTATTTTTATCCTGCTGACAAAAAGTGATTGAGCTAGGTACTTCCTTAGAAATGCCCCATGAGTACTGCAAGAAATCGACTGAAGAAAAGCATATATTAATAACTACAGCTTACATTTACTATGTATCAGGTCCAGTGCTAAATTTTTTACTTGCATTATGGCATTTAATCCTCACAATCCTATGAAGTAGGTAGTCATATTATACCCATTTTATGGACCAGAAAACTGAGAGACTGAGAAGTTAACTTGCCAAGGTCACAAGCCTAGCATTGGACAAGCACAGGATTAAGTCTCAGTTCTGCCTGACTCTGGAGCCCTGGAGCAAAGATGAAGGTGCATCTGCTTCAAAATGAGGTGTCAGACTAAGACATGCCTAGGTAAACGGCAAAGTTGAATCACAACAAGGGTGTTTTCCCTCCATGCCCTTTACGACTGTTGTCAGTCCTAGCTTATATCAAGAAGGGTCTTATTTCTGAAACCCCCTGCCCCCACACAACTCCTCTAAAGGAAGCTAAATAAGCAGATCCAGAGAGTCAGTTTCACTCACAAACATCTCCGTCTCGGCGTCCTGACCTAACTGGCATTGCATTCTTAGTAGTGGATTCAGTTTCTTAGTCTTCTTCCTCTCCCTGAATGTGATGGTCTTCTTTTCACATGACACCTCCGAATCCATTTAAAGAGATGTAGGGAGAGGCCCTTCATTCTCTCAGGAGCTGGTGGCCCCAAATCTGGCCTGTCCACCCTCCTAGGGTTCCACCTTGCTGGCCTCTAATGGAGGTCAAAACGGAATTCGGGAGTCTGGGTCTTTCTCGGAGCAAAGGTAAATTCTAGGCTGCGTTTCCCTACCCCAAAGGGCATTCTCTGCAGCTGCCCTAAATGGCCCGGGCGAGGCCCTTCTGGAGAGCGGGAGGGCCCAGGGAGTGAAATCTCCACTGGGGGCCTAGGCCAAAGCATGGTCCACCACAGCCCTGGGCTGGCCCTGAGAAAGCCCTTAGGGCTCTCTGGTGGGCAGTGGAGGAGGCCTCGACGAGCTCCTGCTGCCCGCGTGTTGCCTACTGAGGCCTCTGGCCCCCCGCCGCCCGTGCCCACTGCCCGTGCCCGCTGCCCGTGCCCTCTGCAGGCCCCAGCCCCAGCCGCGGCCGCGACGTACTCACAGCACACACAGGCAGTACACGCCCGGGACACTCTCGCTGTCCCTCAGCAAATAACTGCCGTCCAGACCCGTGGCGAGCAGGAGCTTCTCCCCGGTCTCCCGGCTGATTTTGCCATGATACACAGTCACCGCATCCATGGCTTGGTGGACTCTTGGGCGGGCCGAGGCGTGGGACGGTTGAAGGGATGGCAACCAGGCACGAGTCAGCCACCTGACTCCCAGTTCAGCCAGATGTGCAAAAAAGAGAGGGGAGCGCCCTAACAACAGGATGTTGTCTACCTGCCTTAAAACCTCCTTCTCACACTTCAATTAAAACCTGCTCAGCGATTCAGCAGCTTGGTTATCGCCACAGGGTTTGATCCCCTCCCCACTCGCCCCTCCTAACCCGCCCCCCCAAAAAAAACAGGGTTCATACAGAGAGGGGAGGACAATTGGAAGAAGGTCCTTGCAAGATGTGGGCGGCACTGCCAATGCAGACCCTTGCACGCAGGAATGCTTGATAATGCTTCTGTTCTTGCATTTTCCCAGGGACCGAACACCAGGGGTGACTTAGCTTAACTATTCCCAAAAGGGAGTGATGATAGAGGCAAGTTGTACATGGCCTTCATGCGGGGCAGAAAAATACTGACAGAGAATGAAAGGGCCAAAAGCTCTGAGACCAAAACTGAGCATAGCCAGGAGGCTCCTACAGAATCAGAAGTAGTAGGTGAACAAGGGACTTGGGGCAAGTATCTTCTCTCCCTCCCTAGGCCCCCTCCTCTTCTGCTCCTCCTAGTCTTCTTGAGCAATCTTGATCTTGAACAAATACTGATTTTTCCTACCTTCTTGTCCAAGATCCCAAAGTGCTGCTTGAGGTACAAAAATTAGTCTATGTCCAAAGATGTTCCAGATTTAGCTATTTGATGGGCCTTGAATGAGAGAATGTATCATTTAGTGGTGTTTTGTCTTTATGTGGACTTGTATATGCCCTCTGATGTCATAGGGCCCACCTTTCAGAATTTGGGGCATAAAACTTGTTTTAAATCATATTGCAAGTGTTGATAATTGTGTTGTAACTTTTATCCTCTGTTGTTAATAGAGAATATGTTTTTTCTCCAGTTGATGCTAAACTATCATTAATTTTTTAAAACCTTTCAACCTTCATTTCCTTCTCTGAAATAAAGCCTTGCTTTTATTTCAAAATGTGCTGTTAAGTAATATTTCCCGTAAACTTCCTCCTTTTTCGCTAGAATAAGACTTTGTTTAATGCTTGAAGCTGAACGGTCTTATACATTTTTCCTTTTGATTATGTAAAATACTTTTAAAATTGGAATTTAAATAGCTGAAGTTACGTTGTCTGTTGTATCTCTTCCACAACTTCAGCGCCTAGTTCCTTGAGAACACGGCAAGGCTGGGAGTTCGAAAGGGAGAACAATTTTTTTTTTTTTTATTGATGTTTTAATGGTTTCTAACATTGTGAAATTTTGGGTTGTACATTTTTGTTTGTCCATCACCACATATATGACTCCCTTCACCCCTTGTGCCCACCCCCCACCCCCACTGCCCTGGTAACCACAGTCCAGTTTTCTCTGTCCATGTGTTGGTTTATATTCCACATATGAGTGAGATCATACAGTGTTTGTCTTTCTCTTTCTGGCTTATTTCACTTAACATAATACACTCCAGGCCCATCCATGTTGTTGCAAATGGGACGATTTTGTCTTTTTTTATGGCTGAGTAGTATTCCATTGTATATATATACCACATTTTCTTAATCCAATCGTCAGTCGAGGGACACTTAGGTTGCTTCCACTTCTTGGCTATGGTGAATAATGCTGCAATGAACATAGGGGTGCATAAGCCTCTTTGGATTGTTGATTTCAGGTGCGTTGGATAGATTCCCAGTAGTGGGATGGCTGGATCATAGGGCATCTCTATTTTTAATTCTTTGAGGAATCTCCATACCGTTTTCCATAGAGGCTGCACAAATTTGCATTCCTACCAGCTGTGTATAAGGGTTCCTGTTTCTCCACATCCTCTCCAACATTTGTTGTTTTTTGTCTTGGTGATTATAGCCATTCTAACAGGCGTGAGGTGGTATCTTAGTGTTGTTTTGATTTGCATTTCCCTGATGATTAGTGATGTTGAGCATCTTTTCATGTGCCTATTGGCCATCTATATATCTTCCTTGGAGAAGTGTCTGTTCATTTCCTCTGTCCATTTTTTGATCGGGTTGTTTGTTTTGTTGTTGTTCAATTGTGTGAGTTCTTTATATATTATGGAGATCAACCCCTTGTCAGATGTATGTTTTGCAAATATTCTCTCCCAGCTGGTTGGTTGTTTGTTCATCTTGATTCTGGTTTCATTTGTCTTATAAAAGCTCTTTAATCTGATAAAGTCCCACTTGTTTATTTTTTCTTTAGTTTGAAAGGGAGAACAATTTTTAAGTCCTCACATGTCCTACCAATGGATCGGATGCACAGAGCTGCCTTTGCACCAAAGCTAGATATTTGCTCTCCTCCCGCTAGGGTTGAGAATAATCCTCTAAGATTTCATTGGAAGCTCTCCTTCTTGATTGAAGTATGCCCAGCCTTAGAATCTATCAACCTTAGTAGATAAAACATGAACATAAGCCTCCTACAGTCATTTGCAATACCAAAATTAAAAAATAAATAAATAAAATAGCATTCAAGATGATATTTGGGGATGGCTCGGGGGAATTGAATCAAGATTGTCTTATCATCTTCCTACCTCATTCATTTATGGCCAACTCCACCTCTCATCCTTTTTCATGCTTTGGGTTAAGGAAGAAATTGACCTGATAATACACCAATGTTAAGGATGTGAGAGGTTAGTCCACCCTGAAATCTTTATATTTTGAGCAGGCAAATGCTTAGCCCAGAGAAATTAATCACAATGGTGGAATTCCAAACACGAAAGGAAAAGATAGGGAAGGGGATCCCCTCATCCAATCCATATGGACAACAGCCCGCCTGTGAGGTAAACTGTGAGAACATTCAGTGTCACATAGGTAAAAAGAAAACTCAAGCCTTTTTGTCTCTGAACAACCCTGAACAAATCATCCGCAAACTTAAGAACAGAGCAACCTGGATCTGACAGCAAAAGTGTACCATGCATTCTTCTTTTCGTTCTCTGTTTTGTTCCGTATTGCTAAAATAGCACAGCTGTCAAAGCACCCAGGTACGGTGGGGTTCAGCACAACTAAAATCGTATAATAAAAGAACAGACAAATTATAAGGTAATAGTACAACTCTCACATCCAGTCCCTCATTGTCATCTCACAAGCAAGCTGACAGCTGAGCCAGCCCACTACTGCAGTGTTGATGAAAAACACTGACATCTTCACTCTAGTGCTACACCGTTACTAAACCTGACTTGAGCAAATTCAAAACTTCACGCTGAGCTTGAAGTGTGGAGAAAGAGAGATTGAAATGGCTCTCTTCCTTCTCTCTCACCATACCTACAAGAGAGGAAAGGGGAAAAACTGAAAGAGGGGAGCAGTAGAGATAGTGGAGGCACCAATAGAGAAAGAGTTAGGAAGAATGGGCCCCAAATACAAGTATAATCCACTTAGAAGTGGAATTATCTGATTGTTTATTGTCTGTCTTCCCCACTAGAACATAGGGTCCATGACATCAGGATTTTGTGTACCTTGTTCACCACTGTGTAGCCGGCATCTGGCACATATTAGATGCTAAATGTATTTATGAGTGAACAAATGAATGAAATTAGTGCTCTCAAGAAAATAAGAGAAAAAAATACACACACACACACACAAATTTGATTCTCCATGCCTCTGGCCCACCTTTGAAATGGCAAGATGAATTGGAAGGAGGACTAGTCCAGCAATTATGAGAGTCAAATTATATTCCATATTTCGCCACTAAATCACTTCCTCTCTCTGAGTCTCATTTTCTCCATCTGTCAAACGGAGTTGAACCAGATGACCCCTAAGGCCACTTCCAGCTTTAACATTCTGTGCTTTAAACAAAAGCCGAACGTACTTTAGAGAGAAACAGAGGGGAAAAGGACTGAGCTCATTTGTGTGCAAGAAGCAAGAGCTGTTTCCTCAGGTCTCACCCAATAGAGGAAAGATCTTTATTCTTGTTGTTTTTAAATGATGCAAGAAATAAAAATCATGAGATGGAGGAAGAGGGCTTCACAGTTTAAAGCAAAGTACAACCTTTTAGAATATAGATGCCATTTAAATCAAATATAAAAGCACTGACAAACTGTCAGCCAAGGTTGAAAGTGTCTTCTTATCTAAACTTGACACCTCCTGAGGTCTCCGAGAGGTGACAGAATTTTACACGTGGATGCCCTGTCTGAGGTGCTAATTGTCTTCATTTCAAATGCTCTAGGCTATTCTCAAACCCAGGTAGATTAAAGGGATGATGCCAAGGGTGGTCAATTTTATAGAGTGGATCTGACATTTCAAAATCCTTTTCTCTAACCTTTCAAAACTAACTTTGTTCTTCAACTAGCTCATCTATAGGTGTGAATTCTCCTGTGACAGTGTTATGATATTGTCACCAGTGGTGAGTTTACACCTTCTCTCGGCACTTACTAAAATTCACTTCCTTTACAAAAATGAGAAAAGAAAAAAAATGTCTTAAAAAAAGAGCACCTCCTTTTGATAAGATCTGGGTTTTATCTATGAGGCTAATTTTTCGAATGCCCTTTTGTAAGTGAGAAGCCAGAGTCAGGGTTGTTGTGTGTGTTTGTTTAAGCCTATTTTAAATATGCTTATTCTTTCAACCAACATTTAGGAGTATCTACTGTAGGACAGACACTGTAGTAGGTACTTAGGTTAGAGAAAAGAAAAGCACATACCTGCCTTCAAGTAGCTCATAGTCTAGTGAAGAAGATAGACAAGCAAACAATTACAATTCACTTAATAAGAGCTGTGATAGAGGAAAGGATGGGGTTCTAGGGACACAGTAGTGGGACATCTAACTCAACTTATATTCTTTTTTTTTTTTTTTTTGTGAGGAAGATCTGAGCTAACATCCATGCTAATCCTCCTCTTTTTTTGCTGAGGAAGACCGGCTCTGAGCTAACATCTATTGCCAATCCTCCTCCTTTTTTTTTCCCCACCAAAGCCCCAGTAGATAGTTGTATGTCATAGTTGCACACCCTTCTAGTTGCTGTATGTGGGACTCGGCCTCAGCATGGCCGGAGAAGAGGTGCGTCGGTGCGCGCCCGGGATCCGAACCCGGGCCACCAGTAGCGGAGCGTGCGCACTTAACTGCTAAGCCACGGGGCCAGCCCCCAACTTATATTCTAAATCTG